TTTGCCAGAAGTGGCTTAGTCATGCTGGCCACATGACCCGGAAGCTGTACGCCGGCTCCCTCAGCCAATAAAGTGAGATGAGCGCCGCAACCCCAGAGTCGGTCACGACTGGACCTAATGGTCAGGGGTCCCTTTATCCCTTTAACTTTATGACACATCAGGTCCAAGAACCAAACATGACTCTCGAGGCCTCTGTCTGGCCCTCGGGGACTCATCCCAGGCCAGACACCTCCTTGAGTCACATCCCTTGCACTCGAAGTTGCTGTCCATCTAGCATTTCAAGTTTCTTCGTAAGGAAACCAGGAACTTAATTTGTATCTCAAGGTAAACCCAAATTTTGGAATGGAAACTTAAGTCTTTTTTAAAAAGTACGCTGTAACATATTTTTCTATGGTTCTTCTCTCCCTCCCTCCCTCTCTCTAATTTGACATAAAGTCCAAGAGTTTCTGACTTCATTTTGTTTTCACCTTCCACTGCCAGTGTCGTTGGCTTATAACAAGCCTAATGTTTGCTGAAAGAGGAACATATAAATTTATATTGGAGGAGGATGTATTATTTATATGAACGTGGGGTTTCCCCCCCTGCAACCTGTCTCCTGAAGAAAACATTTTCTTCAGTGTTTTTGCTAATTCTCACCTCTCCCTAAATGGATGTTGGCTGGTTCCTCTGTTCTACCTCTTATCGTCCTCTGTGAGCTACCTTGATGTTTTGGATTTGTGAAAATGTTTGTTTTTAGCGGAAGTAATAATTTGAAGAAATTGCAGCTAAGCAGAAGATACTGGAACTTCAAAGCATTCCTTACATGCTGTTCTTTCAGGCATGGAAATGGATTTGGTGTTAGAAGCTGACAGCAGAAAGTCTTACACAGCCCAGTTGCTTGTGCTCTTGGTGGATGTGACTGTACTCAATTCTCTGACTAAAAAGCAGATTGTGAGGGGAATTGCAGATGTGGTTTGTAGCAAGCTAGCCATCTAGTTACAACTTAATTAATTTTTTTAGCAGGAGAGTTTTGTGTAGCTCCTTCCGTGACTTGATTTCTCTATTTTACTTCCTCCTTAGACCCCTCTACAGTCTACTCCAAACTGGTGCCCTTCCATCGACCCCACACATCATGGCCAATGGTTAAGGATGGTGGCCATTACAGTACAATATATGGAGGGCACCAGTTTGGGGAAGGCTGAGCTACATGTTCTTGAGACAATACAATCAATGCTGACCATCAAGCTTTCTCACCTGTAGTTCAATGTCTACTCATGGCTTTTCAGCATGTTTCTTAACACGCAAGCTGTGTGAACATGCTCTAAAGTAAAAGAACATGTAGAAGTTTTCATATGTTCCTGGAACCTCATGGGACCAAACCCAAAGTTAGTTTCTGCCATATCGCTCAAGGTCTAAGCAAAGTAGATTTGGCATCTTGTCCTATTCCAGTGTAGGGCTAAATAAATAAGCTGAAGATTTTCCCCTGGCAGGACTCTACCGTGTATAGAATGATTTTTTAAAAGCCACTATGCCCATCGATTAAGGGACGCGGGTGGCGCTGTGGGTAAAACCTCAGCGCCTAGGACTTGCCGATCGCATGGTCGGCGGTTTGAATCCCCGCGGCGGGGTGCGCTCCCGTCGTTTGGTCCCAGTGCCTGCCAACCTAGCAGTTCGAAAGCACCCCCGGGTGCAAGTAGATAAATAGGGACCGCTTACCAGCGGGAAGGTAAACGGCGTTCCGTGTGCTGCGCTGGCTCGCCAGATGCAGCTTGTCACGCTGGCCACGTGACCCAGAAGTGTCTGCGGACAGCGCTGGCTCCCGGCCTCTAGAGTGAGATGAGCGCACAACCCTAGAGTCTGTCAAGACTGGCCCGTACGGGCAGGGGTACCTTTACCTTTATGCCCATCGATTACAGAAGTAGGTATTAATTGGAAAGCCAGAGAGGTGTAATGATTAGGGTATGTTACCGGAAAAATCCGAGGGCTCCCTTGGACAAAAAGTAAAGACACCAACCAGAGTAAATTGGAGCAAATCAGCAGCCTGTAGGCTTGGCCTTTATTGAACTGTTGCAACAGGGTGCTCCCCTCACTTGCAGGAGAGAGGAAAGACACAGGAAAATGGTGTGCAAGGTCTTATAAAGACTTTTGAAATTCCCATCCTGTAGATCATGCCCACCCTCAGAAACATCCTGCATACATCACAGAAAGGAGGGGTTGAGGGAGGAGTTGTGGTGGTAACCTGAGTGTCCTGTCACCTGGCTGGTTCCCCCTTTCCCCCTCCCCATGAGTACTTTCCAGGTGACAGAGGGGAGTTTGCAGTTTCCTGCCCCCAGAGGGAAGAGCTGATTATTGTCCTTTGTTCCAGTCTGTGCTGAATCCACTCCCATATGCAAGTTCTTTGTGATCTTGATGGTCTTCTGTCTAGGACCATCAGGGTTGGCATAGCAACTGGGCAGGGCTCCTGTGGATGTGCTGGTATGCTGAAGGGATTATGGCTGCTCTGTATCAAACCTTCCCCATTTTGTAGTCCTTCCTTCATGGAGTAAAATAAAAGTGGAACAGTGCAAATCCGATGTATGGTTGATTTTCTATGAATTTATAACAGAAGCGTAGCATATGTAGTATGTGAGTGTGTGTGAAGTTTGTACAAACTGAATGATTGGGGGGGGGGGTTCCTGCTACAGGTATAAGACCAGGGAAATCCAGGTTCAAATACCCACTAAGCCTTGAAACCCACTGGGTTGGGACAGTCACTACTTCTCAGCTTTACCTACCAAAGAAGATACCGTATTTTTCGCCCTATAGGACGCACTTTTCCCCCTCCAAAAATGAAGGGGAAATGTGTGTGCGTCCTATGGGGCGAATGCAGGCTTTCGCTGAAGCCTGGAGAGGGAGAGGGGTCGGTGCGCACCGACCCCTCTCGCTCTCCAGGCTTCAGGAAGCTATCCGCAAGCCTTGCAAGCCCAGCGGGAGGTCCCGCGGGCTCGCAAGGCTTGCGGGCAGCAGCCTGCAGCCCGCAAGCTCGGGGGATAGCGGGTAGACGGAGCACCGCCACCCCGCTATTCCACGACCTGATCTGGAGGCTGGCGGGGGGGGGGGAGAAGCAAGCTTACTTCTCCCCCCCCCCGCCAGCCAGCCCCACAAGCTCGGGGGATAGCGGGGAGGCGGAGTGCCGCCACCCCGCTATTCCCCGACCTGATCTGAAGGCTGGCGGGGGGGAGAAGCAAGCTTGCTTCTCCCCATCGCCAGCCCCATAAGCTTGGGGGACAGCGGGGCAAGCCGCTGCCCCACGGAGGCTAGAGAGGCTGTCCCTGAAGGCAGAAGAGGGTGACGGAGCGCTCCGTCTCCCTCTTCTAGCTTTGGGATGGCTGCGCAAACCTGGGGGGGAAATAAAAATTTTTTCCTTGATTTCCCCCCCAAAAAAACTAGGTGCGTCCTATGGGCCGGTGCATCCTATAGGGCGAAAAATACGGTAGTTTGTGGAATGTTCTCCCCAGAGAGGCTTGCCTGGCGCCTTCATTACATATATTTAGGCACCAGGCAAAAACATTCATCTTCTCCTATGCATTTGGCTAATTAAACAATCATTGGCCTTTTAAACTGTGTTGTAGGGTGGTGTTTTGGTTTGCTACTATGTTTTTCTGTTTTATATTGCAAACTATCCTGTGATATTCGGATAAAGGGAGATATAAAACGTAATTAATAATAATAATAATAATTAATAATAGCAATAGGGGCATGTATGCTGCCTTGAGCTCCTTGGAGAAAATACAGACTATAAGTGCCATGTTTTTGTTGGATTTTTTAGAATATAAACTTTTAAGAATGTAGCTGATAAAAGAGGCAATGTATACCCAAATTTTCTTAATTCTGGAGGATTTTCTTAATTCTGATTGGACTTAACTGCCTGATAAAGAATCATCCCACACTAACAAGTTTCAGTTGTCCCATGACAAATTGAACTGATGGATGTTGTGTTATCTACTGGATTTTATGGGGTAGTTGATGCTAAGGTTTGTAACTAGGGCTGCAATCCTATACACAGTTACCTGGGATACCTCCAAGTGAACTCAGTTTGACTTACTTGTGAGTAGACAAGTATAAAATTGTATTTTGCCTGTTCAAGCTTATTTTATCATGTATTATTATGGATTTTAAAACCTATAATGGGACGTGGGTGGCGCTGTGGGTTAAACCACAGAGCCTAGGACTGGCCGATCAGAAGGTTGGCGGTTCGAATCCCCGCAACGGAGTGAGCTCCCATTGCTCGGTCCCTGCTCCTGCCAACCTAGCAGTTCGAAAGCACGTCAAAGTGCAAGTAGATTAATGGGTACTGCTCCGGCGGGAAGGTAAACGGCATTTCCGTGCGCTGCTCTGGTTCGCCAGAAGTGGCTTAGTCATGCTGGCCACATGACCCGGAAGCTGTACGCTGGCTCCCTTGGCCAATAAAGCGAGATGAGCGCCGCAACCCCAGAGTTGGTCACAACTGGACCGAATGGTCAGGGGTCACCTTTACCTTTATTATGGATTTTAAAACCTATAATGCAAACATGTAAGCTAGTGGCAGTTTTGAAGGGAATATTTTTCCAGAGTTTCAGTTGCATAGTTTCCAAGAATACAACCTTATACCAAAACAAGTTATCAGAGGGCAAACTCTAGAATGTGTATTTCATCATAATCACTGATCTCCAGCAATATATCTGCCACACTTCAGAAAACCTTTCAGGAGTCCAATTATTGTCAGCATTACTTAAATGTCAAGTTCACCCCAGTTCCTGTTTGTGCATGTTTCTGTACTTTTCCTTCTGTCTCAGAAAGAGAGAGAATTATGGATTGTCTGCCTTGTGTGGAATATCTTTAGTTCTGATTTGGATGCTTATCAAAAGCAGAATTGATATGGAGTTTTCATATGCTGTTTGGTAATTCTGTTGTGCCCATGGTCAAGTTTTAATTCTTATTTTATGGAAACTGTTGAAAGTTGTCCACAGTGGTCCCCATACAAGTTGTCTTCCATCTTTCAGGTGAGTCCATTGGCATGTCATGCTGTGGGACCCTACTCCTGCAAAAGGTTGTGTGGAAGGCTCCTTGACTGCCAGAATCATACTTGCACGAAGGAATGCCATAAAGTTACTGACACAGATAGTAACAACGATGTCCATAAGGTAAGCTTGACCTTTCTTGCAGCAGAGCAAAAACACCTTGCTCTCAGGTGCCGCAAAATGCAGCCAGCTCAGACACTTTTAAATGTTTTTGGTGTATGGTTCAGTTAGGTTTGACTGTCCATGTTAAATGGCAATGGTTGTGCGTGAGAAAGCACCTGGTTATACATTAAATAATAAAACGTGCCCATTCTTCAGTGGATTCTGGAGTTTTGTGGAGTTAAAAATTTATCCAGAAATAATACGTAACAGTCTTGCATGGTTTCTGTTCTTCATGGAAGTTCCTTGTTGGAATTTTAATAGTGTGAGTCAGTTGATAATGCCAGGTAAAATATATGAAATGGAAAGCAATAGCACTTCATATTACCATTGTGACAATTATTTCTTATACCATTATTGCTCTACTTTTTAAACTGTTGACCGGAGAGATGTCAGGTATCCACCACAACCCATAAGACCTCTTTCCTCAGCAACAATTGCCAGTTCAGACATCATCAGTGTACATGTGAAGTCAGTTTTTTAAAAAAAATATTGGAAGCCCTTTTTGTTTGTTATAAAGAAATGGATATGGCTTTATTCTAGTGTTTTATCATTATTTAGCTTCTGACAGTTTAATCTACAAATACCAGAACAAAATAAACATCAAATAAAAAGAACAATACAGCACAATTTTCTAACTTTCTGATACCCATTTTTGTTTTTATTACTGATCTGGTATTGATTAGATCATTTTTGTTTCACGTAATATTTATAAATATGTGTACAATATAGAAAACTAAAGCAACAACATTTTACCTCTGAGTCTTTGGCAGTCTCCAGCTAATGTGTTCCCTATTCACAAAATGAAATAAAAGAAAAGCCATATATTTTCAGAATCATTGGTTTCATTTGTAGCCTTTGACATCTGCATTATTTTACCTAATAATCAAATTGTTGACTATAGCTTGTGGTTAGTAAAGAGAGTGAAACCACGATCCCAGGTTTGGGCAAAACACTATGACAAACTTTGGCTTACCTCAGCGTGGTGTGGGAATGAAAAGGACCAGGGGGGGAGCAAAGTGGCTGTGAGCCCCTCCCCAGGAGCCCACACATTCACATGGTCCCAGTAAACCAGGCATGGCCAAACTTGGCCCTCCAGCTGTTTTGGGACTACAATTCCCATCATCCCTGACCACTGGTCCTGTTAGCTAGGGATGATGGGAGCTGTAGTCCCAAAACAGCTGGAGGGCCAAGTTTGGCCATGCCTGCAGTAATCCATAGTTAGTCTTAACGTGGCATATGAGCCAGGTCAGTCACTGTTTTTCAGCCTGACCTTATCTCATACGGTTGTTATGAATATAATATGATGAGAGGGGAGAGTCAGTTGCTGGGGAGAGGGGGGTGCACAAGACTTTGGCAAACCCACCTAATGGAATGAATGCTGGCAAGCAACTTCACTTCCTTTATGTGTGTGTGACTCTAAATAACTGTCATTCCCTAATGAGGTGTTTTTTTTTTAAATTGAACCACTTGTGGAAACAGACTTGTTTCCTGGACACTGTGCTAAAGGAGGCTAAAATCTCTTAAGTAAATTGCCCCGCTGAAATAATGTTAAACCTAGTTACAGTGGATACAAATAAAGATATTTAACCTTTAAAGATTGTCCTCTTATCTATGGTGAGGAATATGCATCCGTTCCTCTAACATGCTCCTTTTCAGCTGTTTGTCGAATAGATTCCTGTCTCGAAAAATTATTTGTTGCTAAGAAGACTATAAAAGTACAGAAATCATACTGATGAATGATGTGTGTTGTGCTGTCATTCACTGCCCTTGATACTATGTACTTTATGGCAGAAACTAAAAACAGAAGGCTTTCTTGAGTAGTAATTTTTGGCTTTTTGTGGGTTTTTTTTTTTTAAACTTCTTGAATCCAATATATATTTGAACAGTGACACCTTAATGACTCAAATTAATGTCTTTTGGTACTGTGCAGGTGAAAAGCAAGAAAAAGTTTTGCTTTGTGCTCAAATGCCATAGTTACAATCACATAACAATTTCGTTCGTTTTAACCTTTTTGAGATTGACATTTGGTGGCATTAAATGTCATTTGCTTAGTCTCCACCTTTACTTCAGCTCTTGTTCTAATTCCCCTTTTGAAATTCAGTGCCAACTAGCTCAGCTACTTGTGACTACAAGAGGGTCCTGTGTGGTGTTCTGGTGGTTTCGTATATAATACTGCATGCATATGTAATAATAATAATAATAATTAAGGTAAATGCATCTTAGTAGAGGAATTTAGCTAAATGCTTGGTAATGGGGTGGGGGGAGTGAGTTTGGAATGGTAGTGAGCGGATGAGAGTTTAAAGGGGAGTTTGATGGTGGGACAGTTAGAGTTCATTTGAGAGTTGCATGGAGAGTGGAGTTAGTGTGGAGTCCGGGAGTCTGTGGTCGATAGTGTTAAGAGCAGGGTTACTTTATTAATAGAGCACCAGTATTACAGTAAACGGACGCGGGTGGCGCTGTGGGTTAAACCACAGAGCCTAGAACTTGCCAGTCAGAAGGTCGGCGGTTCAAATCCCCGCGATGGGGTGAGCTCCCGTTGCTCGGTCCCTGCTCCTGCCAACCTAGCAGTTCGAAAGCACATCAAAGTGCAAGTAGATACATAGGTACCGCTCCGGTGGGAAGGTAAACGGCATTTCCGTGTGCTGCTCTGGTTCGCCAGAAACGGCTCAGTCATGCTGGCCACATGACCCGGAAGCTGTACGCTGGCTCCCTTGGCCAATAAAGCGAGATGAGCGCCGCAACCCCAGAGTCGGTCACGACTGGGCCTAATGGTCAGGGGTCCCTTTACCTTTCCCTATTACAGTAACCATTACTGTCTATTTAATAAAGTGACAAATATGATAAAGGCTGAAACCATACGCTTATGTACACCCAAGTAATCAGACAGCCCTTGTTGATTATTTCCATTTAATAAATTATTGCATTATACCACACACTGTTTATTTAGGTACACTAGGGTGGAGTAGTCAGATAAATATTATCTGTGGTGGCAGCAGGAATAAAAGGGAGTTTTAGAAATACCCATCAAAAACCCAGCTCAGACCTGTGCATCCTGTTAAGTGGGAGTGTGGGGAGTCCCTGAGCATCTCATGGCAGAGGCAGGATTTGGGGTGGGTGGGTGGCATGACAACCTGCAACAAAACGTTGCAGTATTTAATTGCCTCCTAATAGGTGTGCTCCTGTTTAGGGTGCTAGCCAGCCAGCCATGCTTTCCTTCAGCAGACCATTCCATCCAGTTTTCCGTTTTTCTGTTCCACATTCTGTGGCTGCTGAGCATTCTCAGTCCTCACGGGCTGTTTTTGGAAGGTGGTGTTTTTTTTAATGTACTTCTGAAAACTCTGCATTTCCCAATTGCATCCTCCAAATGTGTTGATGCTTCCCTGTTGTTTCTGAGTTTCTTGGGGCTGCAGTCCTGTTGGCATTTGGCACCTGAGTTTGTCGTGAGAAGGTGCAATTACAGAGTAATTCTGTATTACCTTTAACTTGCTGTTCATTTGCATTTTTAAAAACTTGTATTCTAGCCAACTGCAGAAGCCACAGTTAGCAACAGGGAAAGGATCTTGCAGGTATATTTTGCTATGATTGGGGAGGGGGCCTTCATATGTAACGAGGAAGCGCTGCCAGATGACCGTGAAAGAGAGTGCTGTTGGTTGCCTGCAGTTCTGAGTAACCTATGAAGCTGCTCTGTGTGACTCCTAGAAATGAGAACAGTGTGCTATTTTTATACCCTTGTTTTCTGTGTACTTTTGAAACATTGCAGCTTGATTTTGTGATTTGCCTTCCTTTTTTTAAAAAAAAAAGGTAATTAGGTTTGTTTACTTAACCAAGTGCAACCATGTTTTTTTTTTTTAAAAAAAGAAGGGTTATTAAACTAATAAATTGTCCAAAGAACAAATAATTCCACCAGTTCATTTTCCCGTGTTACTAGGCAGGTCAAGAATGTTCTCAGTGTGAAGAAGAATGCTCCAAGCCACGACCACCTGGGTGCCCTCATTCATGCCCCCTGCCTTGCCACTCTGGAGATTGCCCACCGTGTGCCCAGATGATACGGATGAAGTGTCACTGCAAACTCACAAGCTTGTACATTGAATGCATGTAAGTAATTAAAGGAGGCTCTGCTTCAGCTTTGAAAATGTAAAATACTATGCAGTGTGTATGTTGCCTTAGGGAAGAGCTTTTCTCCCCCCCTTCCTTTCTTCTGGGATGTTGGAAATGGATGCAGCAAAAAGCCTATTTAAACTGGCTTGGAGGCAACTGTGGCTGCCTGCTTGGTCTTTCCAACATCTGCACATGATATCCATATCCATAGCGTTCCTATGCTGGCAGGCTGGTTTTAGCAACTGCCTTGCCACATGCAGTTAGAGCCATTCCTGAAGGGGATTCTGCAGACTACCTACTGGAATGCTGGGAAGAGAAATCCTGAGAAACTGGTGCAACCTGAGGCTTGTTTGAGCAATTCTAACCAAGAGAGAAAGACACAAGGAGGTGTGGAAAATGTTTGCCCTGGAGATCATGCTAGCCAGTAAAGTAGCAGGGACTTTTGGCCCATTGGACAGCCAGCTTGTAGGATCTTGCTCCAAATCCATGTTGCTGGCATATCTTGGCATGGTGTTGAACAACAGTAGCAGACTTTGGGCTTTCAAATTTCCGTGGTGCCCTGTGCGATGCCAAAATTTGCCTCTCCCACCCTTCCTTTTCCAAGTCATTGTTGTGATGTTCCCTGCTGTGTCCTCTCAGCTTGGCGCCCAGTGAGCGCAAACCAGTTGCCCTCCTCTAAATCCGCCTCTCTGAAGAAGCCCAGATGTTGACATAAGTACCACATATGTTAACCATTCTGAGATAATGTGCTTTCCCCCTGTCATAAGAGCGTATTCACTGAACACACTTTGACCTCATTCACGTTTAACACTAAACCAAACCATGGTTTAATGCAAGCATCTTGGCTCCTGATGGGGAGATTGCAGCTACTTTGTTCTGGTTGTTCTGCTGTGCTAAGCTAAGCTATGATTTGGCTTTGCACATTGTCTGGGTCATGGTTTAGCTTACACCAGACAAACCATGGTTATAGCTTATGGTTTCTCTGAAGAGAGCGGAACCACAAGCCCGGGTTCAGTGCATCTCAGTTTTTCTCTCTCTCGCCTTGGTAAAAGCATTTTGTTCCTCCTGGCTCTCTGTTCTTCCATCAGTTAAGTGTTTCTCTTCTGTAGTCTTTCCCAGATTCTATTTGTTGCCGCAGCGTGTCTGTGCTAACACACTGTCTCTGTCTTGTCATCTTTCCCCCCCTGCTTTTCCGGAAAAAACAAAACAAAACAAAACTCTGTCTTTCTCTCTCTGCTTTCTCCTTAGTCATATTGTGCCTTTCTGTTTCTGTGTATAATTCCTTCTTCGCTTTGCTGTATTTTCTACTGGCTGTCCCTTTCCTATACAGTGGTACCTCGGATTAAGAACTTAATTCGTTCCGGAGGTCTGTTCTTAACTTGAAACTGTTCTTAACCTGAAGCACCACTTTAGCTAATGGGGCCTCCCGCTGCTGCTGTGCCGCCGGAGCACGATTTCTGTTCTCATCCTGAAGCAAAGTTCTTAACCCGAGGTAATATTTCTGGGTTAGCACAGGCTGTAACCTGAAGCGTATGTAACCTGAAGCGTACGTAACCCGAGGTACCACTGTACTTTCTGAGGAGACAGTTGCCAGTTGGGAGAAGCCGCTGGCCATTTTCTGCGCGTCTGCCATTGCCGTCAGTGGAGCAGCGTGGACAAAATTTGATTGGCTGTGGCGTACAGTGGCTGCGCATCAGCTGCTGCTCTACCGCACGCCGTCTTTACTGCCTCAGATCACTCCTGCGTGAGCCCGCAATCGGCTCTGGCCATGAGACAGCTGTTAGGGGACTTTCCACCTCCATTTCAAACAGCCGATCCAGCTACTTTAAAGTGCAACAGCCACTTTCCGCTTCCTGGGGCTGGATTACACAACAGTTTCCAGCGTAAACTATTGCCACTCAACAGTTAAGCCGAAAAGGTCGCCTTCTGCTGACAACTTCTGCTATTTACTTCCTACTTCCAACAGCACTCCAAGTGTGTGTGTGTGTGTGTGTGTGTGTGAGAGAGAGAGAGAGAGAGAGAGAGAGAGAGAGAGACAGACAGACAGACAGACAGACAGACAGACAGATCTAGGTGTGCTGCATGGCTGCAGCTAATTATTGCCTTCTCTGTGTGCACTGGGGGATCGGCGGTGCCTGTTTCAGTGGGTTTCTTCCCACATTCTAAGTACAATATTTTCATTTTGCCACCTGTGCTCTATAACTGACTTCTTTCTAGTGCCTAAGGAACCGGGCCAGCCTGCACCTAAGGAAGCAAAGCAAAAGTCTAAGCTTTTCCAACCCACGAGCTATGCTGCCATCACATTTGGTTTGGGGGCTAAGTGACACATACGTGGCATACAAGGCATTTTTTTCATTAGAAGAAATCATTTAGTAAACATTGGGTTGCTAATGAGCCCCGTTCAGCTGTCGGCAAAGTGGCAAGAGCAATAATAGCATGCATTAGAGTTGTGCTCAAACGTCCCCCAATATAATGCAGACTTTAAAGAACAAAGTACTGCCGTTTTTATGAGCTACTTAACAAAGATGAAAACAACCGAGTTTGGTGGCATCTTAAATACTAACAAATGCATTACGGCATAATCTTTTGTTTATTAAGACCCACTTTCTCAGATGCGTGACATGTTGCCTTTATTTGACAGGATGTGCTCTCTCTCCCCCTCTCTCTCTCACGCACTTTGTAAATATTGTGTACTTGTTCATTTTAACTCCTTTTTAAATGTTGTTGTCTTTCTCGATTTAACTCTTATTTCTTCAGAAAAATCACCTGTGCTGACTTGAAGGAAAAAGATGAGTTGATTTCCTGCAAAAATCAGTGTCCAAAAGAGGTAAGTTATATATGAATTAAAAATATTTGGGGAATACTTAATAAGTACTGCAACCCCCCCCCCACTTCTTAAAATTTATTTCTTTGCGTGTTTTTTACTTGTTAAACACTGGCAAAATAACATGAGGTACTTAAGTGTGTATTCCCATTTGCAAGTGTACTTTTATTCTACAATTTTCACTGTGCAAAACTCTGGTGGTGGTTCGTTGTTGTTGTTGTCGTTCTTTAAACTGGTAGGGAAGAATAGAGAAAAAGTACCGTATTTTTCGCTCTATAACACGCAGTTTTTTCCTCCTGGAAAGTAAGGGGAAATGTCTGTGCGTGTTATGGAGCGAATGCCTACAGATGGCAGGGGAATCCGCTGCAGTTGTGAGCAGTCCGTGGCTCTCTTTGAAACTGCAAAGCGGGTGTAAGCGGCTCCTGTCAGCGAGCCGAGCCGGGCAGGAGGGAGAGAAGCAGAGCGGGGTTGGTTGCTTTAAAACAACCCCGTGCTCTATGTCCCTCTCTCTTCTCCACTGAGCTGCTAAGTAGCAGCAAAGCTTTTCAGCCAGCCTAGCCGGGAGGAGGGAGAGAAGCAGATCGGGGCTGGTTGCTTTAAAACAACCCCGTGTCCCTGCCTGCAGTTTTTTGCTGTCCGATTTTGGATCAGCCACTGTAGGGGCTGTGTGTGTGTGTGTGTGTGTGTGTGTGTGTGCTTGAGCTATCGTTCTCCTCCTCCTCCTTCCTGTTCACTCTCACAGCGCCCCAGCGCTCTCCTGCGACTTTAGGAGTGATACTCTGTGTGTCTCTCTGTGTGTGAGGCATCGTTCTCCTTCTCTTGCTTCCCCTTCACTCTCCCAGCGCCCCTGCTACTTCCAGCGCCCCTGCGACTTTAGGATTGATACTGTGTGTGTGTGTGTGTGAGGCATCGTTCTCCTCTTGCTTCCCCTTCACTCTCCCAGCGCCCCTGCGCTCTCCTGCGACTTTAGGATTGATACTGTGTGTGTGTGAGAGAGAGGGGGGGGATCGTTCTCCTTCTCTTGCTTCCCACTCCCAGCGCCCCTGCGCTCTCCCGACTTTAGGATTGATACTGTGTGTGTGTGTGTGTGTGTGTGTGTGTGTGTGTGAGGCATCGTTCTCCTCTTGCTTCCCCTTCACTCTCCCAGCGCCCCTGCGCTCTCCTGCGACTTTAGGATTGATACTGTGTGTGTGTGTGAGAGAGAGAGGGGGGGGATCGTTCTCCTTCTCTTGCTTCCCACTCCCAGCGCCCCTGCGCTCTCCTGCGACTTTAGGATTGATACTCGTGTGTGTGTGTCTGTGTCTGTGTCTGTGTGTGTGTGTGAGGCATCGTTCTCCTCTTGCTTCCCCTTCACTCTCCCAGCGCCCCTGCGCTCTCCTGCGACTTTAGGATTGATACTGTGTGTGTGTGTGAGAGAGAGGGGGGGGGATCGTTCTCCTTCTCTTGCTTCCCACTCCCAGCGCCCCTGCGCTCTCCTGCGACTTTAGGATTGATACTCTGTGTGTGTGTGTGTGTGTGTGTGTGTGTGTGTGTCTGTGTGTGTGTGAGGCATCGTTCTCCTCTTGCTTCCCCTTCACTCTCCCAGCGCCCCTGCGCTCTCCTGCGACTTTAGGATTGATACTGTGTGTGTGTGAGAGAGAGAGGGGGGGATCGTTCTCCTTCTCTTGCTTCCCACTCCCAGCGCCCCTGCGCTCTCCTGCGACTTTAGGATTGATACTCTGTGTGTGTGTGTGTGTCTGTCTGTGTGTGAGGCATCGTTCTCCTCTTGCTTCCCCTTCACTCTCCCAGCGCCCCTGCGCTCTCCTGCGACTTTAGGATTGATACTGTGTGTGTGTGTGAGAGAGAGGGGGGGGATCGTTCTCCTTCTCTTGCTTCCCACTCCCAGCGCCCCTGCGCTCTCCTGCGACTTTAGGATTGATACTCTGTGTGTGTGTGTGTGTGTGTGTGTGTCTGTGTGTGTGTGTGAGGCATCGTTCTCCTCTTGCTTCCCCTTCACTCTCCCAGCGCCCCTGCGCTCTCCTGCGACTTTAGGATTGATACTGTGTGTGTGAGAGAGAGGGGGGGGATCGTTCTCCTTCTCTTGCTTCCCACTCCCAGCGCCCCTGCCTCTCCTGCGACTTTAGGATTGATACTCTGTGTGTGTGTGTGTCTGTGTGTGAGAGGGATTGTTCTCCTCCTCCTGCTTCCTGTTCACTCCCCCAGCACCCCTGCGACTTTAGGGCGACTTTAGCATGGATCCACATGGATCCTCAGGATTTTTGCATTGGGCTACCCCAAACTCACCGTCAGATCACATGTCTGTGGCCACAGCATGAACCACAAAAATCATACATCCACTGTTTTGTTTAGAATATTTTTTTCTTGTTTTCCTCCTCTAAAAACTACGTGCGTGTTATGGTCTGGTGCGTGTTATAGAGCGAAAAATACGGTATATTATTCTGATATATGTGTTATGCAGGATGAATAAAAAATGATTAAATAACATAAAAAACATAAAAAATTGTAGATACTAATTTCCTCTTAAGTAATAACTTGGATAATATTGGGTCATTTGGATGTAAGCATGCTACCTAGCTTGTAAAAGGGACGCGGGTGGCACTGTGGTCTAAACCACTGAGCCTCTTGGGCTTGCTGATCAGAAGGTCGAATCCCCGTAACAGAGTGAGCTCCCGTTGCTCTGTCCCAGCTGCTGCCAACCTAGCAGTTTGAAAGCATGCCAGTGCAAGTAGATAAATATGTACCACTGCAGCAGGAAGGTAAACAACGTTTCTGTGCGCTCTGGCACTCGCCACAGTGTTCCGTTGCGCCAGAAGTGGCTTAGTCATGCTGGCCACATGACCCAGAAGCTGTCTGTGGACAAATGCCAGCTCCCTTGGCCTGAAAGCGAGATGAGCACCACAACCCCATAGACACCTTTGACTGGACTTAACCATCCAGGTGTCCTATACCTTTACTTTTCTTAGCTTGTGTACTTAAGAAACTAGCCTTGTAACAACAGGCAACCAGGAATTCCAGGCAGGTGCATGAGGATGAGGGATGGAGTGCTTTGTCCCACCTTCACCAGCACCCAGCAGACTATTATTATTATTATTATTATTATTATTATTATTATTATTATTATTATTATTGACAAGTAACTTTTGGGGGCTTATTAGAAGGGTACATTAACTCTACTGTTAACCTCTAAATGGAAATTGGAGAATGCACAGAAAAGTGTACATTTGTTACAAAACGGAAGAGTTTAAGGCCAGAACATGCAGGGTTTATTTTCTCTTTCTTGCTGGCAAGGGGAAATTAGCTCTTCCCATTAGTGCTTGGGGAGAAAAGCAAGACACTTGTTAATCTCTAAACCAGAGGTCACCAACCTTTTGGGGCTCATGGGCAGATTTACAAACCAGAGAAACGGTCATGGTCACCAAGCACACACCACAGTTGTGTATTCACGCGTACACACACACACACACACACTTCCCTGTCCCTAGCAATTAGGCTTGGACAAATTAAAGAGGTCAGATCTTAAAGCCTGGGGAAATAAATAAGGTTTTTGCCACTGAGTAGACCCTTTCCCTACTAGCCACAGTTTTCCCCTCGCCAGCCAGTAAGACCATCCACCTCTGTAACAACTAGGCTACAATAGAAGGCTTTCCTCCCTAAGCCTATTGGAGCCATCACTTCCTCTACTAACACGCTCACGCAGCTGCATGGAATTCCTGGCTCCCTATAGCTACGAGGCTAGCGTTTAAAAGCAAGAGTGGTCTAACAAGTTTATTTCCTTGTTATTTACAATTAACCTAGTTTTAAGTTTTAAAAGAAACTTAGCAGTTACCGTAATTTTCGCTCCAAAACGCGCACTTTTTTGCTCCTAGAAAGTAAGGGAAAATGCCTGTGCGTGTTACGGAGCGAATGCAAGGATCGGAGCCATGGCTGCCATCAGTCAATCAAAGCGGGAGCTGCTTATCCGCTCTACGAGGCTCTCGCTTTGCTTGCTTTAAAGCGACCTGGAGCCGGGGAGGAGGGAGGGAAGGAGAGCCATGGCAGCAAAGCAGGCAGCAGCCGCTTACACGGGAGGAGGGACAGACGCTAGCAAAGGTCTGCACGCTCTCTAAACAGAGCAATGAGGCTGTAGAGGGACAGCAGGAAAGATAAAATTTAAGCAACCAGCAGCAAAATAAAACCAACCTCGAGCTCTGAGCCACGCAGTGAAAACCAGGAAGTAAAAAAAAAGGCTGGGGATGAGGGAGAGGGGAAAACTTTGCAAATCCCGCGTCTCAGCTGATCCGCTGGGAGGGAGCAGCTTGTTTTCAGGCAGGATAGATTTGAGCATTGTCTGGGTCCTAGTGCCCCTACCGCTTTTTTGTTCTCCATTCTATTGCTGCTGGTGACTGCTTATCATTCAGGCTGCAAGGAGGAGCGCTTTTACACAGCTAATGGTGAATCCCCTGCAATCCAGGTCCTCCTCACTTGCCCAAATCTATTCTGCCTCAAAACAAGGAGCGGAAGGAAAAGGCTGCAAACTGTTAAATGGAAAAAAACCCAGGCACAGGGCAGATACCTTAAGTATACCTTTAAAGCAACAGTGCTCTTTCCCTCCCCCCTCCCCGCTCAGCTCGCAGAAAAGCTCCTTCTCCACGTGTGCTTCTTGTCCCTTGAGTGCTTTTCCTTCCCTCCCCACTTAAAACGTGGTTACAAAGCACGGATCCACATGGATCCTGAGGATTTTTGCATTGGGCTACCCCAAACTCACCGTCAGATCACATGTCTGTGGCCACAGCATGAACCATAAAAATCATACATCCACTGTTTCGTTTAGAATATTTTTTTCATGTTTTCCTCCTCTAAAAACTATGTGCGTGTTATGGTCAGGTGCGTGTTATAGAGCGAAAAATACGGTACATTTTTATTTACTTAAACAATTAATCCAATTAAAATTTTAATAATAATAATTCTTTAAAAATGTGAGGTTTTGAGACATTTGTTTGGCTACCGTAGTACTAAGCACAGAAGGAGCTTTCACTGTCTGGTGCAAATGATACCTTTTTAGCGTCCCTCTCCCTTTCACTTTAGGGATCAAGCAAACTTTGATGCTGCCAGAGGCAAAACTTTCAGTGTCCTATAACAGAAAGTTTATAGAAGCAGCAACTATTGCTGACCTTTTGCTATTATGGAATTCAAGGCAGTGTAACGTAAATTTAATTAGATGGTATTATGTTTTGTAAGTATTTTGCATTTTCATGACATTTTGTCCCATCACCTTAAATGGGCAATTGCACCCTAAAATGCAGCGTATAAATTGTTAAATAAAAATAGGCAGTAGTTGTGTTCCAGTGTTATGAGAATCAACCTAGTCGCTCTCCATGCTTGCATTTTACTCTTTACTCCTTCTGTTGTGGCTGCAAAGAGATTTGAAGCTTGCATTTTAGATTAACCACATTTTTAATGCATTGTCTGAACCCTAAACTGTGTTTATTCTTAACTGTGGTTAGCAAAAAAGCAAGTATCTTCATAAACTATTGTTTGAAGTTGGATTGTTTGTCTACATTCAGGGATAGGGTAGACTGAGAGGTTTAACGCCCTCATAGAGATCCAAATCACCCTCTCCCCAATCATCAGATGGATCAAATACAAATGTGGGGAATGTGTAAGCCTCATGGGAGCCTCGGCTCATTGTCATATTGTTGTGCTATGGTTTAGTGTGGCATCTGAAGCAGCCTACTGCTAAGTTATTAGACACTGTGCTCTTTCAGAGTATTTATTTTGCTTTTTATCACTTTGATGTAAAGCTATAAAAATATACTGTATAAGGCACACAGTATGTCAGAGAAATGCTTGTTTCTTGAGCAGTGAATAGAATATTGTTTTGACGGGCCGAATGTGGCATGTGATTTGAGTCATATTATTTTATGCTTAAGTTCCAAACAATGTGAATTTAAGCTTGCTATAAGAAAATGTTAGCATTACATTTTTTTAAAAAAGCCACACACAAAAACCACTGCTGACTTAGAAAGTCATGGTGAAATATTTGAGAATGATGCTTGATGTTTAATGTTTTATTTTGTTTTTATATTTTGCTGGAAGCTGCCCATAGTGGCAGCACATAAATAATACAATTAATACAATATAATATAATACTGAAGTCCAGCGCCGAGGGCCTTCTGATGGTTCCCTCCCTGCGAGAAGTGAGGTTACAGGGAACCAGGCAGAGGGCCTTCTTGGTAGTGGCACCCGCCCTGTGGAATGCCCTCCCATCAGATGTCAAGAAAATAAACAACTATCAGACTGTTAGAAGGCATCTGAAGGCAGCCCTGTTTAGGGAAGTTTTTAATGTTTGATGTTTTATTGTGCTTTTAATATTCTGTTGGGAGCCGCCCAGAGTGGCTGGGGAAACCCAGCCAGATGGGTGGGGTATAAATAATAAATTATTATTACCGTATTTTTCACCCTATAGGGCGCACCTAGGTTTTTTTTTTGGGGGGGGAATAAACAAAAAAATATTTATTTCCCCCCAGGCGCGGGGCTGGGGCTTCCCCTGACCCCAGCCCCCAGAACAGGCTGCTATCCGCAAGCCTTGGGAGCCCAGCGGGAATTCCCGCCGGGCTCCCAAGGCTTGCAGACATCTGCCCGAAGCCCGGGGTGCGCTGCGGAGCGCTCCCCGGGTTTCGGGCTGCAGGCTGCTGTCCGCAAGCCTTGGGAGCCCGGCGGGAACTCCCGCCGGGCTCCCAAGGCTTGTGGATAGCTTCCTGAAGCCTGGAGAGTGAGAGGGGTCGGAGCGCACCGACCCCTCTTGCTTTCCAGGCTTTAGCGAAAGCCTGCATTCGCCCCATAGGACGCACACACATTTCCCCTTCATTTTTGGAGGGGGAAAAGTGGGTCCTATGGGGCAAAAAATATGGTACTTTTAGCTAAAATTAATTGCTCCCAAGAAGTAATGGATGGTTTAAAAATCCTAGGAGAATAGAAAAGTCTTTCTTTATGTGGTGACAAAAAGATATTAACTTAAGTATCAGATAAGCCACACTGGGGATGATATCCCATAATCCCTGTTGGCTACCCACTTTACCTCTCAGTGCGGGAGAAGTCTGTCCTGCTTTACATGAACTTTGTGGGAGCATGTTGAGCTGAATTCTGGGTGCTCCACTATGTCCACCTGACTATTGCATGTATACTCAGGACCATGTTTGAATCGGCCCACGGAAGCGAAAATCACTGTATTAAAAACTTGTTGAACAAATGTGCAGATGCTGGTACCTAAACATAAATTTGAACATGAAAGCATTTATATACCCCCATCTGGTTATACATTTGGTAATATCATGTATTGTATAATGCAAGTAGTCTTCTTGATTTATTAACGTAAAAATACATTTACTAGCAAACTGAAAATGTCAAAAACAGACATCCTAAATATTAAAATAATTATGGCCCCTGTGACATTTCCCCCCTAAGAGCAGTCTGCAAAAGCAAATTCACATTAAAAATGAGGCTCTCCAGATAAAAAAATTCTCCCCAACCTACTGGAAACAAAAGCATCTCTATAAATCATGCTCTCCAATGCAAAGTTTAGGTCCTTGCTTCTGAGTTTGTTTGTTTTAAAAAATACTCTTTAAAAAATATCTGAAAGTGCTTACAGTTATTTTTCTTCGTGTTTGTTTCATAGTTTTGAGAAACAAAACTTGTTACTTCAGTTTTTGAAAAGGCATACGGGAAATAATGGATGCTTTATCGGAATCCTCCCAGAATGGCCACGTTCAGGCATTTGGGGCGAACATGTGTAGGTTTAAGGAATATTAGAAGCCCTTTCGGTCCTTCTCACTGAATGCAGGAAGTCCTGAGATGGAGCCATGGTGTGGGGAGATACTCAAGGGCTTCTTGCAGCCAATCAGAAGCCATGCTTTGGTTTTGGAAGTTGAATGGGCTTCAGGAAAGGATTTTGTTTCACTTCCAAGGTACAACTGTATAGGTTAGACATGTTTGAGGTGGGTGCAGAATTGGAAGCCGGATTGCTTATCTTTGATGTTGGAATCCAGTAGACATTTGCAACATTTGAGCAACTACATTCTGAACAGCGGTCATGCTAGATAAAGCATGACAAATGACAAGACAGAAATGCAATTGTTGCATTAATTGTATAGAAGGTATCTTTGCATCATAGCTTCCAAAATCTTCAAGGATTAGGAGCAGAATAAATATGTAAGGAGCAAATGCAAGTCAACGGTAACAAAGCATTTATTTAGCAGTCTTGAAATACCACTCAGGAGTCGTACTGGTGCTCCATTTCAGAGTATCCTTTTCTTTCCACCACCCCATGTTACAGTTGTCCTGTGGTCATCGATGTAAAGAGATCTGTCATCCTTCCGACTGTCCTCAGAATTGCAACCAGAAGGTTAAAGTCAGATGTCCTTGCAAGAGACTCAAAAAGGTAATTTCATACTCTTCTGAAATCTGTACTTTTCTATTGAAGTATTTGATTGATAATTTTATTCAATTTTTTAAAAATTATGATATTGTTATACCACTCTTCATAATATCTGACCCAGGATGGATTCGTGGTATGTGTTAAAGCAGTAAGTTATATAGGATAAAACTATTAAAATCAACAAACTGAGGGCGCAAATTGTGTATCAGTTAAATGGCAGAGTGAAAACTTTTTGGTATTTAAGACACAACATCCTTCCAGTTTTTAAAATATCTGAGAAAATAAAAATGTCTTTACCTGACGTCTAAGATATAACAGTGGGTGCTAGTTCCACATAACTTTTGCTAGTTTTTTACGTTTTAGATATTGAAATTATTTAAAAATAATTTAACATTTAATGTGAGCCACCTTGATAAATCATCTCTGAAAAATGGATAAACATTTTTTCCCCCTAATGTGAATTCCAAAATTCCCATGAACTGCAGTGATGCAAATATAATTCTGAAATAGGGCAAATACTATGGAATTTCTACCTTTATAACACAAGGGGATTTTAGAGTGAAAATGGTTGCTTAGATATCATAGCCTTAAAAGAAATCATTGCACAGTTAATTGAATTAAATGTGTTCAGACTTCAGAACTATCCTGGGAAATATACGGTATAGTTTAGCTCAAGTATGACTAGTCCAGAGTAAGAAGAGGAAATACGTTTTCCTGGTCAGTAATCAGGAAAAGGCGTATTTAATTACATAAAAAACTGGATCAAGAACAGTTGTTAAACTTGTGAATCCCTAATGCATTTTACAGAAGACTTTCTCGTAGTCTCAGTGCAACTGTGGTGTCATCATCACCCCTGAAGCAGACAGTATAATGGACAAATGACTTCCTCTTACATGACATTATTAATTTTTTTGCCAGAAAGCAATAAGTTTCATTTTTAATAACCCTTTTCTGAAAAAGAAGAATTGCTTGGCACAAGTAGTGTCTGGCTTTTTGAGGAAACACAATTTATAAATGTAACAAACAAATAGTGTATAACGTCATCTTTTGGGATCTGAGATGCTCACATAATCCATGTCTGCAACATGGGACCCATCTCTCTCTCCCTCTTACATATATGTCTGCTTTCATATTCCCCTATCTTTTTTGTACGCATACCTGATTAGAGCCTGTCCCTAAAACGCCTCCTGTTAATTGCAGCACCTTCTATCAAATATAAGGCTCATATAGGAAATGCTGGAAAGTCAGCTGCTTGGTTAATGCACAATAAAGAACACAAAATGTTAGTCCATTTCCGTGTTGGAGAATTTAAGTTTAGCTTCACCACTCAAATCAATGCGACATAGAAGTGTTGAACACTGGCTGGATCAACCCAAAGAGATGTGGGTATTTTAGACTGGTGTTACCAGGGAAAGGGGAGAGACAAGGTGAAACTAGTCCAAAGGCACTAGTCCAAGCTCCTCACTCACAATCACAGTTTTAATCTCTTTATTAGTGTTTGTAACAAGGCTAATGGAATATTCTGAATTTGGCTTGCTTATCCACTTCAGTGAGAAAAGCATATACTTGGCTGGAGTTGTGAAGCGAAGAGTTGTGTAATTTCAGTATGTGAAGAGAAGAGTTTCTTATTCAAAGAAGGAGCACCCACATGACATACAAAAAAAGAAAATCTAAAAAATAGATCAATAGGGAAACCTTTAACCTCTTAGTCTTTGTAGTACAGTTATTGCTTTCATTAGGTTCTCAAGGTTAAACTCTGAATACATGCCTTGAAAAATGTATTTTTCAGATGTAAATTCCCCAGTCCAAGAAATCATGAAGACGAGTTCAAGCACTCCCTTTATGCCCAAATTTAGACCAGGCTTCCTAGTTAAAGTTCAGTTTCCCAATTTGGACGTCGGGAGAAATGTGGTTTAAAAAATGAGCAAGTCTGTTCTGAAGCCAGGCGGCAATGAAGAGAAAGCTCATTGCTCATTAGCACTTCAACAAACTCTGCTTGGTTAGAAAGACAACTGGACTGTTGCTTTGTGTTATGTGAATAGTCAGTTACCATGTCTTAAATGTTCAGTGGTGAGAAGTACATTTTGGAAAAGTCTACTTTACCTTTGCTTTCCTACCCAGCAGACTCACAGGGCGGCTTACAAATTTCCATCTAAAACAATCTGAACTAGATATCAGATGCTTAACTAATTTCATTTATTATTGAAAGAAAAGCAGCTATTCAAATCTCAATGAAATGTAGGATTGTGCTGAATTTTATAACCATCTGATTTATGTAATTCGTAACCTAAAGCGTTAAAGTCTTGTGACAGAGAGAAAAGATTCCTTGGCACTCCCCCCCCCTCTCTTAAGTCCTATTTTGGGTATCAAAATTGATGAGATAGTACTTATAGTAGGTCTTTTTCTTAATGTAGTGTGTTCTCATGAATGCAGAGACTATTAAAAAGCAACATAAGATGTATCCTAGCTATATCTTAACTGTGGTAAATACTCCTATAGGTTTATAATTTAACTGTATACTGGTTCAATTCATTCCAAGAAGGAAACGTACAAACCAGTGGCTTATCCTCAGTCCTTTAACTGGTTTGGTTGGTTATGGTGTGAACGTATCTGGTGATGAGTGTTTTTATTTGTAATTCCTTTACTACTGGGAAAAAATGGTTTGCAAGCTAAATGACAAGAGAAGGATTCTTCGATTATATAGGAAACAGTGTTTAGGCGTGTGTGTTTCGCGATCAGGCTAATGAAGAAAAATAATATATTTTGTTTGGACCCTGCTTCTAGGAGCTGCCGTGCAGTAAGGTTCGAGGAGACCTAGTTACGTTAGAATGTGACACTGTGTGCAAGGAAATGAAACGGAAAGCTTCTGAGGTAATTTTCCTTTTGTGGTTGCAATATATCCTCACTGCTTCAAGAGACTCATGCAGAGTTATTTTCTAAAATTATTGTGCAAGAAATAGAATGCAATTAAATCCGATGTTCCCTGTTCAACAGCTGTTACATGTTAAACTTTGCTTTTTATGTATTGTGGAAAGTTTGTCATCTTGCCTTGCTGTTTATGATAAACTGTTAATACTATGAGCCTCTACACGTGCTGTATTAGAATAATGTTGCTTATGTCTCTTGCTTCCTACCTTTCCCCCCCCCCCCCCAGTTTGGAATGTTTCTTGAAGAAGGTACACATTCATTCAGTTGGGGCCCAGGGGGCATGAAATGGGTTGCCCTGCCTTGTTCAGTTTGTTAATTTGAAGTTAGGATAGTGTAATGAATACATCTATTTAAAGTTCCAAAAATCTGATAACTAGTTTAATGCTCATGTGTGCGCACATGCTTCTCTTGATCTCTTACCACTTGATGACTACTTGGCTGGATATGAGAGCAAGTTGCATCAAAAAGAACAAGGAGTTTTGTGGCACTTTAATGAAATTTGTTTTGGCATAAGCGGACTGCAGTCCACTTCATTAGATACATGGTGTTATCCTGAGTTGGGGAGAGGGATTGCAAACAGCGGGGTCAACTAGAAACAACATGCAGAAAAGGGTAGACAACGAAGGTTTTATAATTAACAGTGGAAATTCACAAAGCAGCTGCTGATAAACACAGACATCCTGTCATCAGTAAGCAAATACACTTAGTGTGCCAAAATATTTTTGTCCGTGTTCGGTCCAGAAGTGATCACATTGAACGACGTGGTGTATTATAATTAAGTTGTTTCATATTGCCATGTCCCTTTTAGTTCCTTGACCCAGAATAACTAGTCAAAGGTCACTTACAGGGTGTCCTGGGAAGTTGACATGTTTCACCACTTTTGAATATTGCCATTTCTGATGCCAATTTTGCATCCTGTTGTTGTTGTTGTTGTACCCCGCCCATCTGACTGGGTTGCCCCAGCCACTCCAGGTGGCTTCCAACATACATAAAAACATAAAAAAATACACATTAAAGTAAGGAACTCTGTTAAGGGATGGAAGAATTGGCATCTTCAGGAGGCATTGGGCCAAAAGCCACATGTGCTTACACAGATAAGAGCATGTGCAACACTGATAAAACATAATATGCAAAGAATGTAATAAGATTTCCACCTGACTTTTTGGTAATGCAAAGAGATAAGAAAGCCATAGATCTGGTGAGGCAATGTATTCTGGATTTAGATTTCCACGAATTGTTTGCGGACATTAATGTACATATAACATATCTCCCCTCTACTCAAGACTGGATGTTGAAAGTTCTCTTCCACATACGTAACAAAACCTAACTATCCAAAGTGTAAAAGAGTGATTCCCTTAAGAGGAACGAATGCCTTTCCTTCTGCAGTTAGATCTGTGATGTTTGGAACTTAACAGGTTAAGTTGTTCCCATGATGCCTCAGCATTCTGACGTCAGCTTTAGAAGCTGGGAGGAGCTTGGGAGGAGTTTCTGTTCTGTTCCTCTCGGTGCTGTGAGAGGGAAGGTCATGGCGGCTGTGAGTCCAGGAGAAACCTGGGGAATATCGGAATAAACAACTGTAAATAGACAAACCTGGCTTCGTGTGTTTGTCTGGAAGCTAAGCCAAGATAAGTGACAGTTTTTCACCGCTGTGTGTAACTCTGCTGGGCGTGACTGGACGACGGAGCTAAGTGGCGCAGCTCGGAGGGGAAGTGTGCCGGGCGGCCATAAATCGCTAATTGAGGATCGCAAATCAATTAGCGGGGGTCACGGTAAACAATCAACTTGTCAACAGGTTATGGGTACTTAATCACCGACCGTAAAACTGTCACTAGAAGTGCCAGAATGCGTTTGAAGTTGCGGTTCAGAGCAACGGAGTTGCGGCAGGAGGCGGAAGGACTTTTTGCCTGGTGTTAAGAGGCAAAGGAGCAGCTGCGGAGTTTGAAAGCAGCTGGTTGAAAGACGCAAAGGTCGCCTGTGAGAGCTGTGAGAGCTGAAGAGCAGCTGGAAAACCGTTTCTCCGGACGGGTGCTGGATAAGCTGTGAGTAAGCTTGGGGCCCCTTGGGAGAACGGAAGAAGATGGCAGGCTGCCAGGTCTTGGAGGACATTCCATGCTCACTTTAAGAAGTTGGGCAACCTGGCTGCTGATCTGAAGCCTATTGTTCTGGGTGCCAGGAAGCCAGAGGCCGCTTGGCTAGCGCTCCAGGGAGTTTGGCAGGCTGGAGGCGACAGCAAGGGCCGGGAGATGGCTGCTTCAGAACAGGAAGGCAAGATGGCGCTGACCACCTTCGTGAGAGCCGGTGCACAGCTGGGAAGGGCTGTGGGCCCCAGAGGGGGGGGCAAAGGATTCCAAAGGCAAGTTTAAGAAGCCTGCTGGAATGAGATGGCGGTTCAGAGGGGGCAGAGCTGGCAAGGAGTGCTTTTCCGGAAGAAGGAGAAGGAGGCCAGCTGGGAAGAGCCCCCGGCAGTGTTTTTCCACTGGAGTTCGTCGTTGCTACGTGTGCAATTTGACGGGACGCTTGCTACGTGTGCCCATGGAGAGCGGAGACAGCTGGGCAGGAAGGTCCCAAGGACAACCAGCTGGGTTTCCAAGGCAACCAGTCTGGGAGAGGAGGCCAGCGTGGGAACGCAAGGGAAGGACGTGGCTCAGACACTGGGGAGGGTTGTTTTCTTATCACTGCTTCTATGGCAACTGTGAAGAACAACTCCAGCCAGGACACGGTGACACGCTGGGGTTTGGATGCTACTGTCAGTCGTCACCTGATAAGCGAACCTGCTGGCGAAATGCGGAACTGCAGGGCTGTTTCAACTGGTTTGACTGTTATGTTCGCAGACGGAACACAAAAATCAGTCTGTGGTGTGGCTAACGTGTTTTTCTCTCCTTTACAGGAGGAGCTAGAGATCTACGTTGTGCCGGGACTGAATTGTTGTCTTTTATCTGTATCAGCTCTAATGAAGCAGGGATACAATGTTTGTTTTGAAAATGACACCTGTTCCATTTTCAGAGGGGGGAGACAACTGGTCAACATGCAGAGGGAGAACAATTTCTTTGTTCTGGAGTCACCTCTGGAGGGTGGTGGGAATGCTGGAAAAGCACAGGTGCAGTGTGCTAAGGTTCCCAGTCATGTGCAAAAGTTGCACAGGTGCACAAAAGGGTGTAAAATCACACAATGTGGGAGGAGGTCCCAAGGGTGCAGGGCGTGCAAAGGTGCAAAGGTACTTGGTTTTCCCAGGTTTGGGAGGGTAGCCAAAGAAGCCTTTGAGCTGGTTCACACAAATCTGTCAGGACCCATGAGGTGTGAGAGTCTGGGTGGGGCCAGGTATGTGCTGTCGCTGACAGATGACCACAGCCAGGTTGGCTGGTGTTTCTCTCTCAAATCACAGGGGGAGGCGGCGCAACTGATCCAGGATTGGGTTGCGGAGGTGGAACTAATGTCCTCCACCAGGGTGCAAGGGTTCAAGAGCGACCGAGGGTCACAGTTTACTGGGTCTGCTCTGGAGGAGTTTTTCAAGGAAAAGGGAATACGTCACCAGGTGACGGGTGCAAAGTCTCCTCAAGGGGAGGAGAGGGAGGCAGAGGCTGATCCCGGTGATGGGGACCAGGTCCAGGGTCAGGGGTCAGGGCAGGTTTGGGCATCTCCAAGGGTTGTGAAAGGAGTGTCCAGGTGTGAGGCTTCATCTCCGGTAAGCGTAATGGAGAAAGCTCACGGACGGGTTGTCAAGTCAGAGGGGGAAAAGTCTGACGGAGGAGACACAACTGCTGGCCCTAATGGGTCAGTAGGGTATCAGGTCACAAGTGCGTGGAAAAGTGTCGCACAATGTGATTCTGGGAGTGTTGAAGGGGTTCAACAGGTGCCTGGGAAAGATGCCGGGAAGGGGCACAAGGCAAAGGGGAAGGTGTTGAACTCAAAAAAAGGTCTTGTCAGAATGGTTCGGCAAGAGGGGGTGTGATGTTTGGAACTTAACAGGTTAAGTTGTTCCCATGATGCCTCAGCATTCTGACGTCAGCTTTAGAAGCTGGGAGGAGCTTGGGAGGAGTTTCTGTTCTGTTCCTCTCGGTGCTGTGAGAGGGAAGGTCATGGCGGCTGTGAGTCCAGGAGAAACCTGGGGAATATCGGAATAAACAACTGTAAATAGACAAACCTGGCTTCGTGTGTTTGTCTGGAAGCTAAGCCAAGATAAGTGACAGTTTTTCACCGCTGTGTGTAACTCTGCTGGGCGTGACTGGACGACGGAGCTAAGTGGCGCAGCTCGGAGGGGAAGTGTGCCGGGCGGCCATAAATCGCTAATTGAGGATCGCAAATCAATTAGCGGGGGTCACGGTAAACAATCAACTTGTTCACAAGATCATGATGATTCAGAGGGCAGTTGACTTGGAGGAGCACTGGTATCAGTGTGGACAGCCAGAGTGCTGAAGTGCAGTTCCGTATAGCTATCCAGGGTAGAAATGTATGTGTAGTAAAGTGGCTGAGATACAAAAAAAGGACTGGGGAGAATAAGATATATTGGTCTTCCTACTGACAGCCCAGACTCATCAAATCATATTTGATTTAGCCAGCTTCCTAACTGCAGTCCTTTGCAGTCCTTTCTATTAAAAAGTAATGGGCCAAATCCCACATGGTTGACTGCCAATGTGATGAATATGGGGATGAAAGAAAGATAATGGGGGAAGCTGGAGGCTAAGTCTGAGTTAAAAGTACAGAGTTAAACTACAAATATTTGTAGCATTTCCTTTCCTTTGTGTAATGTACTATTGTTTGTTAGTATTGGTGTAGTGTAAAAGGCTGGGTGTCTTGTTTTTTATCATGTTTTTGAACAATTTATTATGCCCAGTTGATGGCCATTGGCTAACTAAAAAAGATTGGGCAAAAACTCGCGTGTATAATTTTGGCTACCTGAGCATGGGTGAGGGAAAAACTGTAAAAATGCAAATTATGCATGAATGGAGGGGAGTCCTAGTACAGGTGTATGACGGGAGACTGTCAGTATTTTGTAGATGGAAAAGAGTTGGAATGTGAAAAAGGAAATGTTTCAGTCTGTCTGCAAGCATAGCATTAGTTTGGTTTGGAAAGAGGGCGACAGATATGACAATGATGATAAATCAAATTTTTTTTACCACTCTTCATCTGAACAATATAGGGTGGTTCACAACATAAAAATACAAAATGAGAACACAAAATGCATAATAAAAGAAAACAAAACAATTATATCCCACTCCCACAAACACTTTATAAAGGCCATAGAATGTTAATCAGGCCAAGGTGATAGAGAAACGTTTTTGCCTGACGCCTAAAGGTATGTAATGAAGGAGAACTATGAGACAGAAGGAGAATGTGAGGGAAAGTTTTGGAAGTCAATACAGTGGTACCTTGGTTTATGAACTTAATCCATTCCGGAAGTCCGTTCTTAGACCAAGGCGTGCTTTCCCATAGCAGCGGGGGACTCAATTTACAAGTGGAACACACTCAACAGGAAGCGAAACATGTTCTTATTCCAAGGTAAAGTTCACAAACCAAAACACCTACTTCCGGGTTTGCAGCGTTCTTCATCCAAGCTGTTCATAAACTAAGCTGTTCTTAAATCAAGGTACCACTGTACTATTCATGGCTTTTTATAGCACACAATTGTGCTCTTGTTTCTGCTTGTGTACAGTTTGCTTCTGTTCAGTTAAGTTGGAATTACTGAAACCCAAAGGCGCTTTCAGTTCCTGTGTGAAGTATATGGTACTTGAAATACAATATATAATTGACCACTAAACGAGCTTCCTTGCCAGAGGACGGGCAGATGTTTTCTCTTTATTTACTACTGTTAATGTTGAACTGCTCAATATATGTGGTTCCTAAGTGGTTTACAAAAGATGTTAAAAACCAAAATATGAGTACTTGCCACAAAATAAAGCAATGGAAAAGTTTCTGCACACTAGCAAAAACAAGAGAGAGTGGTAAATCTCCACGGAAATCCTGCGTAAAAAGGGGCATGGGGAAGGAAGTACTGTTACCCCCTCCAAAAAACTGCACATGGAAAGGTGTTCCAGAGGCTGGGTTATACCACTGAGATGGCCCACTTCCTTGATGTCATTATGTGAAATTTCACTGATTGTATCCTGAAGATCTTGATGATTGGCTTGGGATGTATAAGGGGAGGCAACAAGTCTCTAAATATTATTGTGTCTGTGAAGCTGGGCAGGGAATTTTCAGTTGTGTAAAATAACAGGCCCACCATTTAAAAAACCGTGTAGTTTAATTTAAGCTATTTAATTTAAAGGTGTCTTTACCGTACTGTATTCAGCTCCTGCTGAAAACAATTCTTGTAAGCCTACCCAGATGCTTAGAAAGTTGAGGTGAATTTTAATTTGTTTTTTGGTATTTTAACATTTTGCATGTTTCAAAGTATTGGAATTCCCCCCCCCCTCTTGATTTTCTTGTTTTATCTTTTTGTGAACCACTTTGAGGTTTGTTTGTTTTTTAATCAAGCGGTGCATAGATTTTATGGAACAGAAATAGATAAAATACCATACACCACTTATAATACTGTGCATTTAAAAAAACAAACAAAAAACTACACACCTAACTGCTTTACAGTATCTGTCTCAAAGTAGTTCAGAGCTTGGTGACTTTCTCCTGGCCACTTAATGAGGTTCCTGGTCAACTGGCCTCTGTTCCTTACAACAGTTCATGACTCAAAATTTCATCAAGCGCACCACAATGAGTTCTTGAAGGAGTAAGAGTCTATAATGTAGTGGTAACAACATGCTTCAGAATATTCAGGATCTCAAGTAGCGTGACTGGGGAAAACCTCCACATGCACCTTTTAAGAGCTGTTTGTGGACTACACAATTCAAGTCTAGCTTAACTCATTATAGGGACATCTCATATATTCACATGAACCCCAGTGAATAGCATATGTTCCAGTTCATATAAATAACAGGTACAAGACTGGGGGCTTTTTTTTAATGGCAGCCCTATCACTTTGGAGTTCCCTTCAGAGATGTGCAGCTGGGCCCCCTTTGGATGTGTTCAACCACATCGTAAGTATTTGCCTGTTCCACACTGCCTTTATTTGAATCCAGATGCCGTCCTATATTTGATCCGTGGTGTTGTGTGGGATTGTTTCATAGCGTTGAATCCTAAGTTTTAAATTGCTTTTACGATTTTAATTGTGAACAGCCTTAAGAGGGCCAAGGCCTTGAAAGGCAGTGTAAGAATAACTAAATAAATGAACAAAAGTGTAATGATGCTTCCAGCAATTAACAGGGGAGCAAATTTGGGTGCCCAGTGCGTGTGACCTCATGACGTCATGTTGTGGCATGACCTCATGTGCACCCCCCTGCCTCAGAACATAACTTCTTGGCACTGGAAGTCAGGTTCCAAGGTCTCATGAGTTGTATCAGGGGCCCTGTGCTTGGGTGCTGAGTACCCACAACAATTTTTTTCTGGGTGCTCAGGCACCCCTATTGTTGGTGCCCCTGGCAATTAGTAAGTTGTAGCTTATTATGTGCTAAGCATTATTATTTTTATATTCACACAGATTAAAGAGGCCGAGGCCAGAGCTGCCCTTGAAGAGGAAAAACGAAGACAACAGGTACCCACCAACTTAGTCTTCTCTTAAAGTGCGGAAAACTCTAGGACTGTAATCCTACATGTCGTTTGGGCTGCTTAAATTTCAGGGAAGGCAACTGAATGCAAAATGATGAGCTCACAAAATTCTAGTTACAGTACTAAGAGAGTTTGGATTTGATATCCCGATTTATCACTACCCTAAGGAGTCTCAAAGCGGCTAACAATCTCCTTTCCCTTCCTCCCCCACAACAAACACTCTGTGAGGTGAGTGGGGCTGAGAGACTTCAGAGAAGTGTGACTGGCCCAAGGTCACCCAGCAGTTGCATGTGGAGAAGCGGGGAATTGAACCCGGTTCACCAGATTACAAGTCCACCGCTCTGAACCACTACACTGGCTCTCTATTGTACCATGCATATAAAGTTTTAATATGCACTATTTTAAGACACAGTTGAAAAAAGATGACCCCCCCCCCTTTTGCCACATTTATTTTTATAACTTTTTCTGCTTTCCTCCTATCCAGGCTGAGCTGGAGGCTTTTGAGAACAGGCTGAAAGGTCGTCGGAAGAACAAGAGAAAAAAGGACGAGGTCGAAGTTGAACTATCTGCATGGCAAAAATATAAGAACATGATTGTGTTGCCAGTATGTGGAGCTGCTGTCGTAATGTTTGCGTGGTTCATAGCCTACAATGACTAAACTATTCCATTTCAAAACACCTCAATATGATTATAGAAAGCTAACTGCTAAGATGCTGTGATATAAATTAGGATTTAATGTTCAGTTGTACAGGTAGCGACTGATTGGCATGTCAGTGGGGCCCACGTAAGGCCGCCCCACCCTGTTGAACCCTTTTTGTGATGTTTTTGGGTCAGTTTGGGATTGGCACAATACGGTTGTGCACACATCGGACGCACCTGATATGGTTGCTGCCTGTAGTTCGTTATAATTTTCCTGTTCATTTAGAGAAAGCTAGAACCAACCCCAGATCCTATACTTTGCTCCCAAATCAATTTAAAATATTGAGGTGACTCGATTGAAAGTTCTACAGTATAGTTGGTTGAACTATGCTAAGCAATTGTGCCAGATTATATTTTTAAAGTCTAATTTGAGAACCACCGAGTACCATTCCTGTCAATATCCATTTGTTTTGTTCCACGTGTGCACCAGATGAGCACTTGGTTTGTGTAGTCATTTTTAACCTCTTGGCAGGTGAAAGCAAGAAATGGATGGTTTGATACTGTCACAGATGACCATGCCTAATCTCTGTTGGAAGATGCTTGAAACTCTGATCCCGTAAGATGCAGTTCCTATAGCACACATGCACACTACAGCACAGTCTTGCATGAAAAAGCGCCCTTGTTTGGTTCAGATCATATGCAAGGACTGGGTTGTGAATCATGCTGTTATCTGAATAGAAGACAATGTTTTAATGTTTTCATCTTAGCTATATTAATGTGGGTCTTCAGAATAAACCATAAAGCCGTTCTTGATGCTGAGCAGTTCTATTTATACTTTGTCAAACGTATCTTTTAAAATACAATACGGGTGTTCTGTACCTCCAAGATACATTTTTGTTGAATAACATATTTCTAAAGGGAAGTTGTCAGATTTTTCTCTGGGACCTCTCGCAAAACTGGTCATATGCAAGTTGTCGATTTTATTTACCTTTTATTTCAAGCTCTGTTCTTTTGCTAGTAAAAAGAAAATAGTATTTAAGGATATTGCTCTCCTTCTGAAATGTAGCTTTCTCGAAGAAAATTTACATCAAATAAAGTCGTTGCTGTGTTTGCTGTGTGTAAAGTGGCATTCACAATTTAGAAAACGGTGTATGTACATGTGGCAATTCCATTATTAGTTCAGGTGTGCAATTACATAGAAAAATATGAAATGTTGTCTTAAGCAGATGCTCTCAGAGCTGGAATTTAAATATCAAATCAAGTAGCAAATGTCCTAGCTAACCTGCTCATTGTTTCTGTTTACAAATTGACACCCTTGCTTTCACCCCTTCAAAAGTCAACAATAAACTTTACTCCTGAACTACTTTTGTATTTAATTATATAATGACTATTGTCACATCGAATGAGAGAGTGCAAGCTCTTCTGACTTGCTTGCTAGTGCTTAAAATGCTAAATAAATATTATTGATTATTAATTTCCTGTCTAAATTTGGTCTTTGTAAGAATTACCTAAATCCAAACCCCGAATCTTGGGCAAACATCCCAGGTGAAGTCTGGTAGGAATGCCTTTTGGATACCTTCAAATAATCTGAAATTGATATTTTCACATATTTCCAGCAGTGGGTCTTATCTACTTATGACGATTACACATAAGATAAATATATCTACTGTTCAGTGATATTTTGATCGGATGTATGCTGGCAGATTGTAAAATGTTCTTTGGAAAGGAAAACCGCAAAATATTGTAACTTTGGACTTTATATTTACTAAAGAGTACAGTTATTTTTGTTTTTCCATTGATTTAAGAAAGTAACTTGAAGAAATCCACCTTGCAATTGTACATTTTAAGAATTCTAACTTGGTCAGTAGCTCACTTCCTAGCCACATGAATAATTGATACTAATATCACCTTAGGTTGTCAAACTTCACTTTTAGGATATGTTAGCATGAGCCATTTATTTTTGTACTGTTATAACAAAAAAGAGAAAATCCGTCTGTCAATGTAGATAAATAGTGTGAAAACTGATACCTGTTTGAGTCCTACTATGTATTATGTGTGTTAGTAAATCAGCATTCTCTCGGTTTGAATGTTGATGAGATTTGTTAGCTTCTCAACACAAATAACTGGAAAGCTAAAAGGTTTTCGCTACTTCAGCACTTGTATTAAAACACTTGTCTTTGTTTATGTGTAAATGTACCTTCATTTGAAAGAGAGTTGCTCCTTTAATGTTTCGGATGTTCAGCTGAGTGGAAGATAAGAAAAGCAGGCACAATTTCAGTGTGGGGTAAGGCCTTCAGAATCACTTGCCATTTCTTGATATGAATGAGAGGGGAGCATAGCACAATTAGCAGAGTTATATACTTTGCACGCAGAACATACCAGGTTCAGTCTCTGGCATCACCAGTTGGAAAGATCCCAGTTTGCACAGGATATGAAAGACCACTTCCTGAGATTCTGGAGTGGCAGATTTCGATGTTATGGCTGCCACCAGGTCTTCCGCACCATGAAATAACATATTTTTGTACTGGGCATTCAGTTCAATATAGCATCTAGAAAATCTCAGCTTTTGATAACGTTTCTAAGCTACAGTATATAAAGTTCAGAGTTGAAAGTGTGTGAACAGTGCTGGTGAAATCATAGGAATTCTAGAGTTGGAAGGGACTACGAGGGCCACCTAGTCCAGCCCGCAGCAATCTTTTGCCCCATGTGCGGCTGGAATCCACAACCCTGAGATTAAGAGTCTCATGCTCTACTGACTGAGCTATACAATCTTGGGGCAGTGGTGGTGAGCTGACTGGATAGTGCTCATTTAAATGGGGCTTCCTTTTACAGCAGTAGCTCTTTTGCTTCTCAAGGTTAGCAGAATAAATTATATGAAAAGAAGTAAATATAAATGTGTTCATGTGCTTATAATTTTACACATCTCAGAATTCCGTTTTTCTAAATTTAGGAATCTCCTGTGTTAGAGCTGGATAAGCAGAAGCTTAAGAGGAAATCAGTAGTCTTGCAGGTATCGTATTGTGTGTTTGCCAGTTGTATGCTTCACATACCCAAATAACAATAAAAGATAGGCCTGTGATGAGTTTTCAAGAAAGTGGGGGAGGGGGGTAGTAATTCACACCACAGTAAGCATGGCCAATAGTCTAAACTGGAAAGAGAGCTTAGTCCAAATATTCCACTTTAGTCCTAAATCCAACTTGGCTACCCCTATACTTACTTGTGACGTCACTTTTTACTCAAACACACTTAGAACTAAATGTTGAATCGTTTAGGCTTATATAGATTATTCAGTTTTTCATTCAGTAAACATGCAAATTTGCAGATTTTCCAGATGACTTTGCCTGTATTCACACTTTATTTCTTTATTGGACTTATTAGTCACTTTTGTTTACATAATGTAAAGAGTGACTTGCAATTTTTACAGAAATTTTTATTAATATAAAGCTAAAACAAAGTAAAAGCTAAACACACACACGTATAAAAGAACCCATTGAAAGAGGCTGCAGTGTATAAACTTTCCAAGTTAAAGGTGAAAGGCCTGGCTGGAAAAAAACCACATTTTTTTCTGGCACCTGAAAATAGCCAGCGATGTTGCCAGGCATCCCTCCCAGGGGAGAGCATTCTGTAAGCAGGGAGCCGCCATCAAAAAAGTTGTATTCCTGTGTTGCCACTTCTGGATAGAGTTTGGAGAGGGCACATAGAATGCAGGATCTGGATTGGTTTATGTGGAGACAGGTGGTCCTTGAGGTATCGGGGCCCTGAGCCACCTAACACTTTATAAATAAAAACCAGCCCTTTGAATTGAGCCCGGAAACTAATTGGTAGGCGATACAGGCTTGCCAGAATTGGTTTTCTATGCTTAGACCGTCTTGCATTGTCCTCAGTCTGTCAAATGCTGCACCACCTGCAGTTTCTGAACCATCATCAAAGTTGGCCCAATGTACAACACATAACAACAGGTTGGGCTGCCCCTGTCCAGATGAGTGTGCAGATTAGGTAAAGGGTAAAGGGACCCCTGACCGTTAGGTCCAGTCGCGGACGACTTGGGGGTTGCAGTGCTCATCTCGCTTTACTGGCCGAGGGAGCTGGCGTACAGCTTCCGGGTCATGTGGCCAGCATGACTAAGCCGCTTCTGGCGAACCAGAGCAGTGCACGGAAACACTGTTTACCTTCCCGCCGGAGCAGTACCTATTTATCTACTTGCACTTTGTGCATTTGAACTGCTTGGTTGGCAGGAGCAGGGACCGAACAACGGGAGCTCACCCTGTTGTGGGGATTCGAACCACTGACCTTCTGATCAGCAAGCCCTAGGCTCTGTGGTTTAGACCACAGCACCACCCGCTTCCACCAGCTAAAGCAGATGCAGGGCTTTTGCATCATGGAAGCCACTTGAGCCTCAGATGACAGTAATGGATCCAGCAGTACACCCAAACTGCACACTTGCTACTAGAGAGGAAGTATAACCCCATTCAGAGCAGGGCACTTCCTACACATCCAGTCTAGGGATCCACCCACCTACAGTGCCTCAGTCTTGTCTGGATTGAGCTTCAGTTTATTGGCTCTCATAAAGTCCACTATTGAGGAAATACATTGTTTCAGCATTTCCACTGACGGCCACACCTGCAGATGGAAAGGAGAAGGAACAGCTGTGTGTCATCAGCGTATTGCTGATAACATACTCCAAAACTCCAGCTGACACCACTTAGCAGTTTCATGTAGATGTTGTATATTGGTTATATATGCTTCAGCATTTTAACTTGACTCTCTTGTCCCAGCCAGAAGTTCAGGTCTCCTCTTCCGCTAATGAACCTCTTGCAATAGTAAGTATTTGAAATGTGATTATGCCAACTTGTCTTCTTCACCTGTTGTTTACTGATGTATCATTCTCTCCCAATTGTGAATTCGGTGGTCAAGTATCTACTGGTTTAGGAACAGAACAGGGCCACCCAAAAACAAAGTAGTAGTTTGTACTTTGTTGGAGTGTGCTAGATATGCAGAAGTACCGGTATATGACTTTGCAAACTAACAGAAAAACTCAAAAGGAGGCTGATAAGAAGCTGTGAGCTTCCAGGGTATCTGGCAGGAGTGAGGAACCCAGTAGCTGGAAGTTGTAGTTCGGCAATGTCAGAAGGCTAAAGGCTCCCCACACTTTAGAATCGTAGAATTGTAGAGTTGGAAGGGACCCAAGGGTCATCTAGTCTAACCCTCTGCAATGTAGGAATCTCAGCTAAAGCGTCCATGGTGTCGTCTGCAAATTTGATGAACATTCCTTCAATTCCTTCATCCAAATTGTTTTATAAAGATGTTGAACAACAACAACAGGCCCAGGACAGAACCCTGTGGCACCCCAATTATCTCTTTTTTCCAGAATGAGGAGGAACAGGATCAGTCAGAGGGAGCAACATATTGCAACATATATTTGGCAGGCCCCACCATATTTCTGTGCTGTCTCCTCAAAATAGGCTTGAGGCAGCTTTAAGAAAAATAGTCAAAACAACATCTTGGTATAATATATCGCCATGGCAGTTCTTGCCTCATTTACAAACATGCATTATAAAAGGCTCGGTTGCAAGTGGTACCTCTACTTACGAACTTAATTTGTTCTGGAGGTCCGTTCTTAACCTGAAACTGTTCTTAACTAGAAGCGTGCTTTCGCTAATGGGGCCTCTTGCTGCCGCTGCGCTGCCGGCACACGATTTCCGTTCTCATTCTGGGGCAGAGTTCTCAACTCGGGGTAACTCTTCCAGGTTAGCGGAGTTTGTAACCTGAGGCATTTGTAACCGGAGGCGTGTGTAACTCGAGGTACCACTGTATTTTGGAATGGCAAAGCATTGTAGTTTTGCCAGACAGTTGAAAGCTGGAGTACAGAACAATGAGAAAATTGTGAGGGTGGCACCAATAACCCCAGGTACAAAAGCAGAAGGAGGAATGCTTAATCGAAGGCCTACAGGGTATTAGTGCTGATGGACCTGGTCATTTGTTTTGACTGTGAATTATCTGCCTTTTGATAGAATCCTAGAATACTGAATTATGGCATATTGTTTTGTAGTGGTTTTATATTATGCCATTGTGCCCCATCCTAAGGTCGCTTGTTGATGAAGAGTGGGCTAAAAATATTTTAAATAAATGTGACTAGCTTACTCTAAAATGGGGCTGGAGAATCCAGAGGTACAGTTAAATAGAAATACTTCCATTGGCAGAATTAAGTTGAAATTATAATGGTTCTGTTAGAATTCCATGCCGCTTGTTTAAAAAAGAGAAAGACCTAAAACACAATCTTTAATTTTGCTTTTTTTTTCTTCCTGAAGAAGTAGTGGTGGACTTTGAATGTACAGTATTTGGATTTGTATGCAGTAAACGTTGAAGGTTTTAGCCTCTTTTAGAGAGTAATATCTCTATGAAGGGAATTCCAGATAGTTGGCACCCACAAGGGAGGAGTGTATCATAAGACAACTGGAAAAGGCTTTTCCAGCTGCTCTTAATAGAAGAGCTTAGTTCTTATGGGGGACATGTTTAAATATAGGGGGCTTGAGATGTAAAGGTGAAAAACAACACCTTGAATGGCCTGCCAATGCCAACATAGTGAAGTGATGACTGGGTGGTTGTTTTTTTAAAAACTTCCCATTTATGGAGAGTTGAGCTTGGCAATGTCACACAGCTACACAAATTCCAAGCACTTTGTGGTTTTAATTGGTGACTTCAGTACTAGACAATGCTATTCCCCTCCCCAGTATGCTTTAAAGTTATATTGGTTAATGTTCCTACCAAAAAAAAAAAAGTGATTACAACATAATTTATTAATACATGTTGTTTGTTATTGGTTATCTGGAGCCAGAAATACAATTGCATTCTACCTGTAAAGTAGCTGTGTTGGTTCGGTTCCAATTCGATGAGCCCTGGAAATTGAATATCTTTTAAATGTGGGTGCTTCTGAAAAATAATGGTATATTATTTTTTTCTGAAAAAAATGGTATATTAATAAGTCATCCTGTGTTTTGCAGCTGGTGTTGCAGTAGAGCTCAAAGGTCAGAACAGTGTATTATCCCACTACAACCATAGGAGGCATTATTTACTTGGGAGCATGGGAATGTCCTGGCTTTGGGGGCGTGCAAGGAAGTTATCACTGTAATGCCAGAAGTGATGTGCAGTATGAGTACTGAGTCAGTAACACTACTGCAGT